TCATTCTCATTCTCTCTCTCTCTTTCAGGATTTAATTATTGCCAAGGGTTTATTAGCTCATTATTAAATGTTTTCAAATAAACATTTTTTGTTTTAGAATTTGGAATTTGTATATCTTTCTGGTGCCTTGAGCCTTTTCACTTTATAAAATGTGTAGGCTTACTGATGGTTTTCTTTTAAAGTCTCTTGTGTGTGGTATTAATGCCCTGGCCAGTTTGGCTCAGCGGTTAGAGCGTCGGCCTGTGGTCCGGAGAGACCCGGGTTCGGTTCCCGCTAAGGGCACGTACCTCGGTTGCAGTTTGTCCCCGGCCCTGGATGGTCGTGCGGGTGGCAGCCACTCGATGTGTCCCTTCACGTCGATGTTTCTCTCTCTCTCTCCCTTCCTCTCTCTCCCTCCCATTCTATCTGTACAAAAAATGGAAAAATATCCTCGGGTGAGGATAAAACAAAACAAAACAAAACAAAAAAACTATGCCCTGGCCGGTTTGGCTCAGCGGTTAGAGCGTCGGCCTGCGGTCCTGAGAGACCCGGGTTCGGTTCCTGCTAAGGGCACGTACCTCGGTTGCAGTTTGTCCCCGGCCCTGGTTGGGTCGTGTGGGTGGCAGCCACTCGATGTGTCCCTTTCACGTCGATGTTTCTCTCTCTCTCTCCCTTCCACACTCTATCTAAACAAAAGATGAGGGAATGTCCTCGGGTGAGGATAATAAAAAAAAAAAAAAAATGTGTAGGCTTACTGATGGTTTTCTTTTAAAGTCTCTTGTGTGTGGTATTAATAGAGCTATACCAGCCTTTTGTTTATTTGTCTTTAGAGTTTATATGGTTTACTTTTTCCATGCTTTAATATCAACCTTGCTATATTCTTACGTTTAAATATGTATCTCTTCTAAACAGTCCATATTTTAATCCAGTCTGACGCAATTGCCTCTAACTTGACAATCCTGATCAAAGAATACTATTCATAAACTTATGTCAATATATTTGAGCCCGGTCAGTGTGACTCAGTGGTTGAGCATTGACCCAGGCACCAAGAGGTCGCTGGTTCGATTCCCTGTCAGAGCACATACCAGGTTGTGGGCCTGATCCCCAGTGGGGCATGCAGGAGGCGGCCAATCGATGTCCTCTCTCATCGATGTTTCTATTGCTCTCTCCCTTCCTCTCTCTCAAAAAATCAATAAAGAAATATATATATATAGATAGATAGATAGATAGATATAGATATAGATATAGATATCTATATCTATATATATATATCTTTGAAAATCTTGATAAAGTAAATGCTTTTATATAGGAAAGTACAAATTATAAAAATAATCTTAGGGATTTTTTAAATTAACCACAGTAGAAATTGAAGAGGTAGTCAAAGTTTTAGTCCTTACTAAGGCCAAAAATTCAATATTTTTATGTGTAATAGCTACCAAAATAGCAAGGAATAGCTCATTTCTATGTTACATAGACTCTCCAAGAATAGAAGCTTTCCAGGGGTAGAGAACCTCCCCGGTTATTCCAGTAAGAAAAGAAAACAGGGCAAGAAGTAAAATATGAAAATGTGTAGATATAATTGTCATTGTTTACAAACAATGGGCTAATCCAAGTAGAAAATTCAAGCAAATCAACTCAAACGCCTTTATGACAATGACTAGAATAACAATTAATAGAATCAGTACGGTGGAAGATGAATAAAAGAACACAATCACTTTCTTGCACTGATAACGTGTTAGGTTGGTCAGCTTGTTGTAACAAAATACCATAGACGGGTGCCTGAAGACACGGACATTTCTTTCTCACACTGCTGGAGGGTGGACATTCAAAACAAGGTCCCCATTCAGTTCTGGTCAGAGCCCTTTCCCCAGCCTGCAGACAGCCACCTGGTCGCTAGGCTTCACATGGTGAGGGAGAGAGAGAGAAGAAAAACAAATCAAAGGGTAAGAATTGGAGAAGAAGAAACAGAATTAAAAGTCAAAAATACTGACTGTCAGACTAAACAACCAACAACTCAATTTAAAAATGGACTTGAAGAGACATTTCTCCAAAGAAGATATATGAATGACCAATGAGCACATTAAAAGATACTCAGTATCACTGATCATAACGGAAATGCAAATCAAAACTACAGTGAGACACTGCCTCACACTCATTAGGGTAGCTACTATCATAAAAACAGAAAACAGGTGTTGGCGAGGACGTGGAGAAATTGGAAAGTGTGCGTTGTTGGTGGGAACATAAAATGGTGCAGCCATGTGGAGAAAAGTATGACGGTTCTTCAAAGTATCAAAGATAGAATGACCAGATGATCCAGCAATTCCACTTAAAAGCAGGGTCTCAAAAAAAATGTCTACATCCATGTTTGTAGTAGCATTATTCACAATAGCTAAGATGTGGAAGCAACCCATCAAGCAATGCATGGATAAACAAAATGTAGTATATACATACAATAGAATATGATTCAGCCTTTCAAAAGGAAAGGATTCTGCAGTATGCTACAGCATGGGTGAACCTTGAGGTCATTAGGCTATGTGAAATAAGCCAGTCACAATTAAGACAGGTACTGTATGAGTCCACTTAAATGAGGTACTTGGTCAACATTGTAAAGACAGGAAGTACAGTGGTGGATGTCAGGGCCTCGGAGAGTTGTTAATAGGCACAGAGTTCCAGTTTTACCAGATGAAAAGATTATGGGGATGGGTATTTGTTTTAAAAAGATACCTAGAAATAGCCTACCAAAAGATGTATGTGGGAAAATAATAAAACCTTATTAAAAGACATGAAATAGGGCCTAAATAAATGAAGAGGTGTGTCACGTTCATGGCTAGGAGACTTGATATCACAAATATCCCCCAAATGAATCTATATTTTAATGCAATTTCAGTAAAATGCTCTACAGGATTATTCATGGAATGTGACAAGCCGAGCCTACCGTTTCCGTGGAGTAGAAAAGGAAATGAACAGTTTTCAAGAACATGAAGCTGGAAGGAGTCATTCTCTATGACAGAGCACGACTTCACTATAAAGTTGTAGTGATTGAGGCAATGTGATCTCCCTGGCCGGTTTGGCTCAGCGGTTGGAGCGTCAGCCTGCGGACCAGAGAGTCCCAGGTTCGGTTCCCGCTAGGGGCACGTACCAAAAGAAAAAAAACACAACAACAATATGATCTACTACTTATAGACAAATAAGCCTGTGGAATAGGATGAAGTGGCTAGTGTGAGACCCACACATTATGGGGATATAATTCATGTTAGAAGAAATACTTCAAATCAGTAGGTGAAGATGGACTGTTCAATAAATTGCGTTAAGAAAGTTGGTTATGTATACAGAAAAAGAGGAAGCATATTTCTACCTCATATGGAGGATAAAAATATATTCCAGGTTAATGGGTTATTACAAAAACAAAATTTTAGAACTTTTAGAACATAGAGGAGAAGATTTTTATGACCCAGAATAGAGAAGAATATTTTAAACAAGATGCAAATTAAAAAAAAAAAAAACTCAGAAGAAAACTTTATAAAATTACTATTAAAAAAAAAAAAAAAAAACAGAAAGGAAAATATTATAAATTTGACCAAATTGAAATTTAAAACTTAGATTCATCAAAATATACCATAAATAAAGCTAAAGACAAGCCACAGACTGGAAGGTCTTGTGATGCATGTAACTGAAAAGGGATTAACATGAAAACTAAAGAATCCTACAAACAAACAAGACAAACCATGAGACAAACAGGCAAGAATATGACCATGTACGTCAACAGAAGATGAAGTAAAAAATCTCAGCCCATTAATCATTTTAAAACCAAATTAAAACAGCAGTGACATACGTTTTTTATTTGCATTTTTATTTTTTACTTTTTTAGAGAAAGAGGAAAGGAGAGAGAAATAGAAACATCAACATGAGAAACATGAGTCAGCTGCCTCCTGCACGCCCCCTGCTGGGGATTGAGCATGTGCCCTGACTGGGAATCCAACCTCTCAGTCCATGGGAGGATGCTCAATCCACTGAGCCACACCAGCCGAGCATGCGGTGACATATTTATACCCATCACATGTGCCATGTTTTTTAAGATTTACTGATACCAAGAATTAGCACACCTAAACTCATAGAGACGGGGAGTACAAAACTGTCTACCAGTGGCGGAGGGTGGGGGAGCAGGAGGAGGTTGGTAAAAGGGTAGAGATTCTCAGTTACGAGGTGCACGAGGGCTGAGGATCTCATGTCAAGCACAGCGCCTACGGTGATAACACGGTCCTGTGACGGCCATGGGCTGAGAGCAGAGCCTGAGCGTCCCCACACACACACAGTAACTGCGGGAGGTGATGCACGTGGAAAGTGACTAGGTGGGAGGAACCCTTTCACGGCGTGTCATATATCAAGTCAGCACGAGGCACACTTAAAACATCCTACACATGTGTCGGTCAGTGATGCCCCGATGGAGCTGCAAGGTGAGAGCTGGCGAGTCTGTAGAGCAAGGGCCTTTCTTGCTGACAGGGACATAAACAGGACAAACACCTGGACACCCTGAGCCAGTGATACCTGGTCAAGACAACACACACCTGCTGCCCACCGGCAGTTCCACGGCTGAGCAGATGTCCCGGGCGCGGGCCTGTGTGCTTCCTGCCGTGTTGTTTGTATCAGCGAAAACAAAAGAAAGGCAGTAGCTTAGCAGGAGGGTGGGTTTTGAGACGGCATCTTCAGTATACTCCTGGGCAACAATTAAGATGAACGAACTGCAGCGAAAACATATCTAAACAGAAATCTCAAAAACTGAACATGGATCGCAAAAAGAGTGGGTTTGCAGAAAAGGTGCAGTTGTTACCACTTACATAGTTTTAAAACATTCGAAGCAATGCTGTGTATTTTCGTATTTAGTGAACGTGTCAGAGCATTTGGGGAATGATCAACACCCCGTGCAATTTAGCAGGTCCCTGTGGAGAAGGAGGCAGGGGCAGGGGGCCAGGAAGGAGGCGGAGCTGAGGGCTTGGACCCATGGGTGCCGTCTGTCTGCGCAGGTGTGCCACGGGGGAGGCGTGGCAGGACATCATGCTGGCCTGCATGCCTGGGAAGAAGTGCGCCCCGGAGTCTGAGCCCCACAACAGCACGGAAGGCGAGACGCCGTGTGGCAGCAGCTTCGCGGTCTTCTACTTCATCAGCTTCTACATGCTCTGTGCCTTCCTGGTGAGTGACAGGGGACCGCTCAGCCACAGGGCATACGCATGCAGGTCAGGCAGCCGGGTCTGCCGCCTCTGCAGCTCACGCAGAGGGCACCCCAGCAGAGGAGCTGGCTTAGAAAGGCCCCGTTAGTAGGTGTCCAACCACACAGACACGGGCAGGAAGCCTGAGGAGAGTGACCTCAGCCAGCATCTCGTGTCCGTTCTTGGCTCTTGTCATGGAGGCATTGTCCCAGAGGACACAGGAGATGGCTGTGGAGGCCTGGAGGCAACTTGGACTTCTTGGCGCTTTGATGGGGACGAGGGGAAGGTGGTGGTCCAGTCGTCCTCTGTCCTTGGCAGCCCTGCCCGGCGGCCTAGGCGAGGGAGCTGCCCAGTCCACATGGGGGTTCAGCCCACACAATCTGAGGGGAGCTGCATACGTTTATGTCCAGGAGGCCCAAGTTCCAGGGCTGGTGTTTTAATGTGACGTATGGCCGGTCTTTAGAAGTGTCGGCTTCAGCCATGCATGGCACGGCTGGCAGAGTGGATTCAAGTGGCAGGTGTCAGGAAGGTCCTGTGAGGTGACTGATCGTACTCCCTGTTCTCTCAGATCATCAACCTCTTCGTCGCTGTCATCATGGACAACTTTGACTACCTGACAAGGGACTGGTCAATCCTGGGTCCCCACCATCTGGACGAATTTAAACGAATCTGGGCAGAGTATGACCCTGAAGCCAAGTAAGTTCCCAGCGGGGAGTTCTGATGCCCACAGCCGAGGACGGTTGCACAGCCACACCTACAGAGGAGGGTCGGGGTGGGTTAGCACTGGGCGGCTCCGCCGGAAACACTGAACTGCACCAGACCCAGGGTCAAGCGTCAAGGGCCAGCATAGGAAACCAGGCATCTTTGGCCAAGTCACGGACGTATCTGCTATTTTCAGCGGAATGAAAAATAGAAGATCCTAGCGTTAGACATAGCCGGGAAGCACCCAAGTAAGGGTGTTTAGGGCCAGGCACAGCGCCACTCCGTTCCTGCTGCAGGTCCAGGGACACCCTCGTCAACCAATTACATTTGGTTGACACTCAATAAATACCTGTTGGCCGGGTGGTCAGTTGACTGAAGCAGCAAGTACATGTTGAGACTTTCAGGACACGACTAAGACACTTGTGTTTTGAGCATACACTGCTGGAAAATGGCTCATTAAAATCTAAACGTGTAGATATTGGTTGGAGTTTTACCGAGCAGTTCTGCAACTCTGCACCGAGTTTGGCCAGTGGGGCTGCAGCTGTCCTCCTGTGGGTGTACCCACCTCTCAGGTACACGAGTCCTGGCTGCTGGCCAAGGCCGTGGCCCGACTGACCTTTCCCTCCGCTCGTGTCTCTTCCAGGGGTCGAATCAAACACCTGGACGTGGTGACCCTGCTCCGGCGGATTCAGCCCCCACTGGGTTTTGGGAAGCTGTGCCCTCACCGCGTGGCTTGCAAAGTAAGAGACAACCTGGGTTCGAGGGAGAAAGAGAGAACGTGGGGGAGCGAGACGCTTGTTTGTCTTGGCTCTTTGGTCAGGCCAGCTGTTTAAGGGGTGGAAGAGAATACGTCGCATGCCTAAGAAATGAGCCTGAGCCAGGGTACATTTTAAGGATCCTTCCAGCACTAAGTTCTCAGGTTCTATAAAGGAAAAGTGAGGTGAAGGCCTCGTGTCCCAGTGGGCCACGTGCCAGGTCCCGAGGGAGGGCCTTGTTCAGACCAGGCGATGCTGTCCCATTGGGCCTCCTGGAAGACTTCCTGAGTAGGATGGATGGATTGGGGTGCTTTCCTGGGGTCACAGGGTCATTAAAGAGGCCCTGCTTCAGCTTCAGGGACCCGTGAAGCCCTAACAGTGTATATGAAATCACTGAAATGCTCACAACTGTACCAGGGAGAGGATCCGTCATGTCCACCAGATTTCTAAGCAAGTCCATGATGTGTAAGACGGACACCCTGGCCTCTGTAAGACCCAACTCTTGCCCATGTGGTGCTTGCATGACCCGAGAGCGAGCGCCCCCTAGTGGTGTGCCTTCTCATGCCTCACTGGGATCCCCACCGTGTGGCCCAGCAGGTGCTGAAGGCCTCGTTTCCACTCTGTCCCTCCTTCTGTAAATCTCACGACCGCCCTCCCGCATCCCGCGTTGGAGTAGTGACAAGTTCAAAGGGAGTGGGCGGAAGTGATGTCAGAGAGCCATACAGAGGAAGAGACACAAATAGGGAGGTTCAGTCTGTGGACAGTCCACTCGTGGACACGGGGAACTGAAGGAATACAGAACCTGTACGTGTGCTCTGTTTGACTCCGTTCATCCTCGCGTGACCCTCTGCTTCATTTCAAAAGTAAGATTTTAGAAGATTTCCGAGGGTGTAGAAGATATGGGGGGGAAGGGGGAAGCAGAGTGGAAAACAAGCTCGAGATGAGCATGGCCCACGCGAGGCTGCACCGTGGCATCGGGGCCTCCAGTTGGGCCTGGACGGGCTGCGGGCTGAGCTTCACGCTCCCCAGGAACCCCTATAAATTTCACACCTCCGTTAGAATCGAGTCACCCAGAGTAACTACAGCCCTCTTGGCACACGACTAGCAGGAGGACACATGTGCCCTTGACCACACCTGAGAGCCGATGTCGGGCGCACTTCATGGTGCGCTCTCTCACAATGACCCTGCTGAGGGCCCCGGGGCACAGGCCGTGGCAGCGACCTCGGGGTGGGAAAGGAGGGGAGAGGGCGATCCAATCCCATCCAGGGTCAGCAAGCTTCTGATCCAGCTCGATGGAGAGGTGGATGCGCCAATATACAGGAAAGAGGACAGACTGCACGTCCTGCAAGCATCTCCCGCTGTTCTCTCTCTTGCGGGTTTAGAGGAGTGGGGGCTGGCAGGTGGGCTCCCAGCAGCTGCCTGTGCACGGCTGTTCTTTGTTGCCCGCAGAGCACGCCTGTATTCATGAGCCACGTTTGAGCAGGGGGGGATGGAAGCAAGGGTCTGATGGGGACAGAGTCCAGTCCTCCCTCACTCGGGGCTGCAGAGCCAAGCCTCTCCCCAGAACAGCGCTGAGTACGTTTCAGGGATTTGTGCTCACACACCTCGCCCACTCCAGACACATACACCCAAGTCTGGAGACTCCCTCCCAGCACTCTCCCGCTGTGGCGGTTCTGCGGGCCCTTTGAGGACCGTCTGCTGTAATCACCAGCTTTGCCTCCCCTACCTCTCCAGCGTCTGGTCTCCATGAACATGCCCCTGAACAGTGATGGGACGGTCATGTTCAATGCCACCCTGTTCGCCCTGGTCCGGACAGCCTTGAGGATCAAAACGGAAGGTAAGAATCCCCCCCATGGCCCTGGAAGAGCCACTCAGAGGACCTAGCCCTCCAACCAGAGAGGAGGTCAGCAGCCTGCAGGGTGTCCGGGGCCTCCCTGTCCCGCACAGAGCAGTGGCTCAGCAATAACCTGCACCTGGGGGTGTAAAAGAGGCCTAGTCATGTTTTCTTCGCTTCTTGAATGGCCTCCTTGCCTCCGGCTTACTTATTGTGCATGCTGGCTTTCCATTCTGAAGTCATGGGGCATACTTCCAAAAGCAGAGAAAGATGAGTGTCACCCGAAGCTAGACCCAGCCCCACCTGAGTTAAAATGCACTGGTTGCGCGAGGGCCTTCCAAAGGCTCGACACTCTTTTTAAATTGCAAAGACCTGTGTGGACCCTGGCTGGGTAGCTCAGTTGGTTAGAGCATCATCCTGATGTGCAAAGGTTGTGGTTCCATCCCTGGTCTGGGCACATACAAGAATCAACCAATGAATGCATGAATACGTGAAACAACAAATGGATGCTTCTCTCTCTCTCTCCTATGCTCTCTCTCAAGTTAATAAATAAATAAAAATTTTTGAAGACCTATGTGGGGAAGGGGTCGTAGTGGCAAATGGTGACTGTGGTCAAAGTCATCCATCCAATGGCACAAGGGCTCAGCCAGCCAACAGGTAGGGTTAAGTTTTCACCTGTGCTCTGCTAGGCAGGCCATGCTCCCTTGGGCCTGTGTCCACCTGGAGGGACACCTTCTTCTGGTTTGCACAAAGGCACCCCACGGGCTGCAGCCGCTTTGGCTGCAATACTCGGTTGTCTGTGTAATTAATAAGTATTTCTGAACCCCTCTGTGCAAACGGACCTAAGAAGACGCCCTTGCTCTCCAAGAGCTTCTCGCCTATTATAGAGTGTTTTGCAGAGTGTGGTCAAAAGACCACCTGGCCCTGGCCGGTTTGGCTCAGCGGTTAGAGCGTTGGCCTGTGGTCCTGAGAGACCCGGGTTCGGTTCCCGCTAAGGGCACGTACCTCGGTTACAGTTTGTCCCCGGGCCTGGTTGGTCGTGCGGGTGGCAGCCACTCGATGTGTTCCTTTCACGTCGATATTTCTCTCTCTCTCTGTTCCTCTCTCTCCCTCCCACTCTACCTGAACAAAAAAATGGGAAAATGTCCTCAGGTGAGGATAAAAAAAAAAAAAAAAAAAAAACCACCTGCCCTCAGATAAAATTATTGTATTGGAGTTTGTTGAAAACACCCCGAGTCCCCAGCGACTGTGCAGATCTCCGGATCTGAGGCGCGGAGAGCGCCCGGGGCTGCAGTTCCGACCACGCACCACGCTGATTCCCGCAGCCGCCTCCTGGGCGGGGATCAGAGGAAACTCAGACGAGACCCCACGTGGCTCCTGTCCCTTCTTGTGCTCAGTCTGAGCCTCAGGCCACTGGGCACAGGGTCCTTCGGCGCTTCAGGATCCCCGGGCAGGGGGTGGGGGCGGAGGCTGGCACCGACACCAGGTGTGAATAGTCACATACTCTCCCTGCTGGAGTTTCGACATTTGTAAAATAAGAAAGGTGACAAGATGACGTGTGGGGAGTCAGGTCAGCCAATGACCAGGAGAGGTGCCTTCTCTCGGCTAAAGCCTTCCAGAAAATAACAGAAACATCCACAATAAAAGAAAGCAGAAAGGGGCCATCAACATACATGTCAAAAGAGTGAGCTAGTTTTTTTTAAAGTTAAAAATAGTTCACGTTCTGCTGCCAAACTAAAAAGAAGCAAAGGCTGAAGAACATCCTCTGCGTCGCTCAACCGGACATAGTTGTAACTGGCCTGCGTCTCACACTGAGACAGGTCAGCACCCATGTCCTGTTCTGTGTCTGCAACAGGGAGGGAGACGGGAAGGAAACCGCTCACCGCGCACGTTGATCACCCTGAGCCGTCGGAGGAGCGCTGCCCTGCCCCTTCGGCCTCTGAGTTACTGTCCAAAGGTTTCACCATGACCATTAGGGTCATGTCCAGGAAGAAAGAGGTCCTCTCCTGAGGAGCGAAGGCTGGAGAAGTACTAGAAGAGACACACTGCCGCACTTCGAGCTGGATGTAGACGGAGGGAGTACGTGTTCACTCCTCGGAGGGAGGAGCAGCTCAGAGGTGCGGAGGCCGGGTCCTCGCAGTCAGAGAGGCGCTGTCAGCGCAAACCGAGTCCCCGCTGAAGAGTACCAAGCGGGCTGCCAGTGCCGGAGAAGCAGGTCCGAAAGGACCGGCACGCGGGGTCGGGCTCTGGGAAGCCAGCGTTCCAGGGCGGGGAGGGGCCAGCCACGTGGGCACTGCAGACAAGAGTTACAGAAATCTGGACGCACAAAGGCACTGACCTGCGGCACTACATTGTCCCTGCAGCTCACCGCGCTGTACTGTACACTTAAAATGCTGCCAGGCAGGTCGATCTCATGTTCAGTGTTCTTGCCACAATCAAATAAATTAAAAATCAAAAAAGGGCCCTGGCCGGTTTGGCTCAGCGGTTGGAGCGTCAGCCTATAGACCAGAGAGTCCCAGGTTTGGTTCCCGCTAGGGGCATGTACAAAAAAAAAAAGGAATAGCTACCAAAAGGCCCACTGGGTCAGCTCGGGGCCAAACCTTATCGGAGACAAGCCCTGCATGAAGTGTTCACCTCTTCAGTCTGGAAGACAAAGGCACATTCTCAGGAGCAACGAGAAAGGAATGTGAGGAGGCATCGAAATGCGTGAGGACAGAGTGTCCACCCGCCCTTCCCCTCCTGACTTTTGTGCGTGGAAGACTCTGGGTGGACACGAGCACCCACTTCAGAGGACCAGGCCCAAGCCAAGCTGACCTCGGAATGCAGGAGGAAGGTCGTTTTAAGTACATTCTTAGATGCTGTGCAGCAGTTGTCGGTGAAGTTCCCCGGTGGCATAGACTGTTGAGAATACATGGAGCTTGAGAAGCACAGGGAAAGCTCTCCTGGAAGATGCAGCTGTTGCCTGGGTCCCAGGGACGAGCTATCACCCACTGGGCGCTTACAACAGCAGAGAGGTTTTCTCTCACAGTTCAGGTGGCCGGAGTCCCAAGTCAAGGAGTCTGCGGGGGTCCCCCTCGGAGGTTCCTCTCCGGGCCGTGGCTTCTGGTGGCTGCCTGCCCGCAGCGCTTGGGGTTTCTTGGCTCTTAGCTGTCCACTCTAGTCTCTGCCTCCATCCTCTGCTGGCCTCCTTCCCTCCGCGCCCCTCCTCACCGGAGAAGGACACCAGTCACACTGGATTTAGGGCCTACCCTAGCTGAGTCCAACCTCATCTTAACTAATCACATCCACAAAGACTATTTGCAGCTGAGGTCACATGCCGAGATCCCATGTGGACATGAATTTGGAGGGGATACTATTCAACCCACGGCCGAAGATAAATATACGTGAGCATTATAAGAATTTGGACTCGTCCCAGATGTCAGAAACCACTGGCTGCCTTACCCAAGAAGGGAGCGTAACCACGAGGGACTCCCTCCACCACGGAATGCCAGGGATCAGCCCTGGCTGCAGGCACCGTCGGGATCGATGTTCACACCAGGGACGCAGGAGTCGGCCACTCTCTCTGCATTAGCAGCTCTGCTTGCTGCGGTTGGGTGTCCCTCCAAGGGAGCCCGTGTGGCACGGCCAGGCAGCCTGACACGGAGCTCGGGACCGTGCCGCCTCCCTGGGCCACAGCCGAGAACGATGCAGCACGGGCACACCTCACGCCATGGTGCTCTGCAGATACCGCGTTTCCATCCCGATGGAGGCAAGACCCACCCCCAGCGACAAGATTAGGACTCGCCGAAGACTCGGAGGATGCTTCTCATATTTTTAGCAATAAAGTATTTTTCAATTGAAGTATTCACCTTGTTTTTACAGACACAATGCTATTGCGCGATTAATAGACTACAGTGAACGTAACGTATAATGTGTATATGCACCGGGAAACCAAAAAGCATCGTGTGACAGGCTTAATTGCTATATTCGCTTTATTGCGGTGCCTGAAGCAGAGCCTGAAATACCTTCGAGGTCTGCCGACACTGGTTTCCTGTTGCTGCATGGCCAGTTACCACTGACTTTCTGGCTTGACAGTACACCCAGTTATTAGCTCCCAGTGTTGTAGGTCGGAAGCGAAGCCACGGGCAGCTGATGTCTGTGCTCAGGGCCTTACAAGACCAGAATCGGGATATGGGTCAGGGCGCGCCCTCTCCCGGAGGCTCCGGGGAAGGATCCACTCCAGCTCATTCAGGTCATCTGCAGGATCCGTTCCCTGCGGCCGCAGGGCTGGCTCTCCGCTGGCCACTCAGCCAGAGGCCGCCTGTCTCCGCTCAGCTCCCAGCGCGGAGCGTGCGTTCTTCCAGGCCGCACCCCCGTCTCTCTCCTGCTCCCCACCTTTGACCCCGTTCGCACACTGCTCTTTTGTTTGTTTTGTTTTTTATTGAGGTACAATTGGCATATAACATTATATTACTTTCTGGTAGATAGCGTAGTGATTTGATATTTGTAAATGTTGGAAAATGATCATCGCAGTAAGTCTAGTTAACATCCATTGCCATGCGTAGTTATAATGTTTTTTCTTGTGATGATGTTTTTTTTAATCCTCACCTGAGGATGTGTTTATTGATTTTAGAGAGAGAGAAGGGGGAGGAGGAGAGAGAGGGAGAAACATCGATCAGTTCGTTGCCTCCCAAATGCGCCCCGACTGGGACTGAACCCGCAAGCTTGGTATGTGCCCTGACTGGGAATCGAACCCGAAACCGTTTGGTGTACAGGATGAAGCTCCAACCAACTGAGCCACCCGGCCAGGGCTTGTGATGATAACCTTTGAGATCTACTCTCTTAACAACTTTCAAATTGCCAAATACAGTATTAACTGTGGCCACCAAGCTGCGCATTCTATTCCCATGACTTATTTATTTGTAACTGGAAGTTTGTACCTGAGAGCTCTCTACTTTTAAAGAGCTCACGTGATTAGGACAGCTTCACCCCGGTAGTCTCCCTGTCTTAAGGTCATATGTGCCCTATAATATCATCTAATCGCAGGGTGAAATCCATCAGTCCCAGTCCAGGGATTGTGCAGGGTGTGTACATACTGGCGGGGAGGAGTGGGGCACCCTAGCATCCTGCCCCCACATCCTGTCTCGCAGCTGCAGGCCCAGGTGCCCCTCGTAGGGCAGCATCCCAGATGCTGCGTGGGGCCGGCACCTGCTCAGCCTGTTTCGCCGAGTGGGGAGAGTGGACCCAGAGACCCAGTGTTTTCTGATCTCTGCGTCCACACTGAGGCTGCGCCCCCTCCTCCCCGAAGGAGACTCTGCAGGGGGCTTTGACGCTGGAGGAGACTGCTCTTCCTTCCAGTCACCCACTTCTCCCTGGTGACCACGGGGGCCGTGAGAAGTGCCATCCATGGGGAGCCCCTGCGCCCTCCGGGCAGCCGGCTGCCGAGCTCCATGGGCACCAGCGGTCTTGTCGGCTCGCGGTGCCGACGACAAGGAAGACGCCCCTGGCTGGTCTGAGCAGCAGGCAGAGGAGTGGCCCTGGACAGGGCACAAGGCAGGGGAGGAAGAGGGAAACTGGATCGGGACGATCTGTGGGCACTTGACGCAGAGGGCACAGCCGTGGGGCCTCCGAGGGGCCGATGGTCTTTCAGCCTGCGTCTGTCTCTCCCCCAGGGAACCTGGAGCAGGCCAATGAGGAGCTGCGCGCCATAATCAAGAAGATCTGGAAGAGGACCAGCATGAAGCTGCTGGACCAAGTGGTGCCCCCTGCGGGTGGTAAGTGCACCCTCATCTCCACGTGCCCCCTGCGTGCCTGGCTCTTGAGTTGCTAGGCTTGTCGGGCTCCGTCCGCTTTCCCCAGACCTGTCTGTGGGGCTGAAAGCGCCTCCTGCTTAGAAGGGACAAGGGCACCGTGTCCTTCACCAACTCAGGTACAGACAGTCAGGTTGGACATCGAGTCTGCATGTCGCGGATGAAGTCAGGCAAGGCCGCTGCTCAGAGGTTTGGCAGAACTTCAAGGAAACGGCAGAGTGTAGGTTTCCCCGTAAACCGCTGGGCCGGCAGCTCCATAATAACGGGGCCCTGAGAGCCCCTCCTGGTGCAGATTCTTCCTGCCCTTCCCAGGCAGTGTTGCTCGGCCCTGCGCCCCCACACCCCTTTCTAACAAATAGTGCAAAATCCCCCGACTGCTCTCCCAGGTGAAAGTCGTAGGTAAGAACGTGCCCACACATGTACCTTCCAAAATGTTCACATAACGCTTTATTCTAATGTAACATGTATTAAAACCAAATGCTTTCCAATATATGAACGTTCGGGCACACCTAGGCCAGAGTTATCATTCATGGAAGAAATGCTTACACGCTCCCACGTACGAATGAATAAGTGTGTTTAAAGGAAGTAAGGCTATTGAATATTGCCAACATTTTGCATTTGTCAGTCTGAAGAGCCAACTGAGTATATTTAAATAACTATACACACACATACATACACCGACATACGTGCACATACATAGAGCAAATGCAGGCTGAGGCGGGCGGGTCAGAGACAGGGGTGACCCCAAGGAACACCGCCGTCAGGGAAACCGTCTTCCAAAATGTGAAGCCCTGTCAGTCAAGTTGAAACAAAACAACGTCTTCTGTCAATTACACCGCAGTTACATTCCTGGAAAATTCTGGATGTATTAAAACTAGGTGACAAATGTTCTTAGCTCAGGTGATCCAAGCAGGTGGTTCCCCTACGTGGATGTCCAGCATAACACTTGAGAGTGGCAGCGTGTGAAGCTGTTATTTATTGTGCAAAACACGCCTGTGCTTTAAGGGACCTATCGTGAACCACTTAATACAAGCAGCACCCCAAATCACCGTGACAACCACAAAAGTCCCACACATCCCCAAAATGCTTTTTAGAAGGTGACGCCACCCCTGCTGAGAACCTCTTCCCGGAGGGAAGGTAGAGTGGGGACTAAATGGAGTCACAGAGATGGCCCAGGTGTACCTCCATTGTTTTATTAGCTCCTTACAACGTTTCTATGAAATTTGCTTAAAAAGTGGCAGTTTGCTCAAAGGATCGAAGTCCTTAGATGCTCAGTAGCTGGCCCGAGGCTACACGGTGCGGACCCAGCAGAGTCAGGACTCAAACCCAGGTCTGAGGGGCGCCAGAACCTGCAGTCTCCCCTGCAGCATCTCCTCCCCGCCTGCCCAGCACCGGGGATCGGGGTCCTTCCCCCCACGCGGGAAGGAGGCCCCTGCCAGGTGGAAAGCCATCGTTGCCGGGGAGCTGGCTCCTCCTGGGGGAACATTAGAAATAGGAGAACCATCATGAGCTCCCAGATCTGACCCAACCAGCTGCCTCCCAAGCCCGTGGCCCTGTCCTCCACAGAGAGCCGGGAGGGGGGCAAAGGGGCTCCTTGTGGGGCATGAAATAGTCCCACTGGAGACGTACTGGCTTCTCCACCACATGGTTCATTCCCAAGACAGGGGACCCAGCCAGGCTACACATAAGAAAACCTGATCTGTCTGGTTGAAAGAAAACCCCAAGCTTACCCCAGAAGAAGGTGCTCCTTCTATCAGCCCCTCCCGATAACCTTTAAGCAGAACTGTATTTGTATTTAGGGGACTGGTTGGTCTCTGGTGGCTATCTGAAGCTTCAAAATCAAGTAAGAATGTTGGCAATATCAGTTTAAAAAAATTAAGATAAAAAAAAGCAAGGTGGGAAATAATTTTGACAATCCGCTACTTTTTTCGTTTCCCACAAGGGGGGATATGGACATACTTGCTTATTTACAGAAAACATTTGCATGAAGAATATCTGCAAAAATATGCAAGAAACTAATAAAAAAAAAAAGACGATCGATTAGGAGGGGGTAACCTGGCGGATGGGACCCGTGGGAGAGGGACCTCTCACTATATAACTTTTTATGTGTTTGTTGTCTTTTTGAACCATGTGAATGTACTATCTCTTCAAAAACTACATTTTAAAAATGTAAAAAGTCTGGCTGCTGAGCAGAAACGAATAAAGCCCAACTAAATCCCCCTTGTTTACCTCCAACGCCCTGCCCTGTCTTGGACTCTCAGACGACGAGGTCACGGTGGGCAAGTTTTACGCGACTTTCCTGATCCAAGAGTATTTCCGGAAATTCAAGAAGCGCAAAGAGCAGGGCCTCGTGGGCAAGCCCTCCCAGAGGAACGCCTTGTCCCTGCAGGTGAGCCGGGCCACACCCCAAGGACAGGCCTGGTGCCCTCCTCTGACCTCTGGCCGGGTCCGCGTCTCGGCAGTGGGCTGGGCCAGGCCCCTGCAGAAGGCGGATGTGTGAAGGGCACGCGTCCCTCCCTCCTGCTCTCTGCACACACACTGCCTCGGGGCCCGCCCAACCCCCAGCTCCCACACACACAGCCTGTCCTCCTGTGCCCTCGTGTTTCTCGGGGAGGAGAGTGGGCTCTTCCCTCGGGCAGACAGAGAGTCCCAAAGCTCCGCCCTGGGCGGGCCCGCGGCCACACTCGGAGGCTGGCTGCCTGGCGGACGCGGTGGCCGCCGGCCGGGCGGAGCGGCGGGCTCACGTCCCTCTGGGTTCCAGGCTGGCTTGCGCACGCTGCACGACATCGGGCCCGAGATCCGACGGGCCATCTCGGGGGACCTGACGGCGGAGGAGGAGCTGGACAAAGCCATGAAGGAGGCTGTGTCTGCCGCCTCTGAAGACGACATCTTCAGGGTAGGTGGCGCCACGGTGGCGGGTGAGAGGGTGGGACAAGGCAAGGGGTGAGTTCTGTGGCAGATCCCAGCCCTTCCCACAGCTATTCCGACCCCTCCGCCTTTCCCAAGCCCGACCCCACCTCCAGCCAGGAGGAGGAAGGAGCCGTTTTCCCAAGGGACATCTTTCCAAAGAAAAACCTACATTAGAAGCTTCAAAGTGGTGGCCCTTGGGCCACTGCTAGTCTACAGGCCTGTTTTGTGTGCCAACATTTGAAAATCTAGCACATTCAAATAAAAATCCAGACTTCTGGCTTCTCTTGGAAACATCAGAAGATCTTGGCAATATGAGGCTGTCCCCCCGGGCAGTGCGGGTGGGAACCGAGTGGAGTGGCCGTTGTCCTTCAGATAGAACATGCGTCTCCAGGTCACAGGGGCCCTCCAGCCTCCCTCTCCTTCCCTGGTGCGGAGGCTGTTCTAACAGTAAAGACTGAACATGGCTGGGATGCTCGGACGCTTACATCCAGCTCCGTGCATTCATTGGTGGTACCTGCCCACCCAGAAGGTGTTTAGCTAAAAGTTTTTCTGTGGCCAAGGAGAAGCTACGGCCACAGTCGTACCGGGCCAGCTCACACCTGTCCCGCCCAGCCCCGTGCCAGGGTTCCTAGGCTGCAGAAGCCAGGGAGGAACGAGGAGCCGGTCCTGCCTGCCACTGCCCTGTCCCACATCCTGGTTCTCGTCGCTGTGCATTGCTCACTACTGTGACCTCGCGGACACAGCAGCCAGTTAACATGACCCCACCCAGACCCCACAGACCAACCTTGCAGTGGCCACTTGCCCGCTTGCCCAGGACAAGGAAAGAATGTTGGGAATTAAGCGGGTTCCAGACTTGAAATCTCCAAGGCCGTCCTGGGGGCAAGGAGGCCATCACATAACTGAGGTGGTAAATCCGTCATCTGTATTTCAAAACCTTTGGCCGACACAGTTTCCAGCCCGGGCGCCCGTGGAGTTCCCTTTGTTTAGATCTCGTTCAGCCTTCTGGCCCCGCTGCCCACCCCTCAGACCAAGGAGGGCCACCCTAGGCCCGCCCCGAAGTTTACTAGAAACTTCCAGGGCGGCAGCAGCTCCCGGCCTGACTGGCTCCCCAAGGCTGTCCCGTCCCTCACCACTGCCCGGGCCCTTTCCCAGCTGCCAGGCCGCGGGGGTGAGGTAGTCCTGCCCAGCGTGGCTGGCTCTCTGGAGGGCAGACCCTTTCTGTGCCTTGGCTGAGGAGGAGGGGTTGCCAGGGGGCGCTCTCCTCCACCCACCGCCCCGTCTTGCCTGCAGAGGGCCGGCGGCCTGTTCGGCAACCACGTCAGCTACTACCAAAGCGACAGCCGGAGCACCTTCCCCCAGACCTTCACCACCCAGCGCCCGCTGCACATCAACAAGGCCACCAGCAGCCCCGGCGACACCGAGTCGCCGTCCCACGAGAAACTGGTGGACTCCACCTTCACCCCCAGCAGCTACTCGTCCACTGGCTCCAACGCCAACATCAACAATGCCAACAACACCGCCCTGGGCCGCTTTCCCCGCCCCGCCGGCTACCCCAGCGCGGTCAGCGCCCTGGAGGGCCACGGGCCCCCCCTGTCTCCTGCCATCCGGGTGCAGGAGGCATCGTGGAAGCTCAGCTCCAAGAGGTAAGCAGGAGGGTGGGGCACCCAGGGCCCATGCACAGGGGCCTCACACACTCCAGCTCAGAGGGGTCGGGGGAAGAGCATCAGCCCCCAGGTCTGCAACTCACCCCTCAAGCTGGGGTGGACGCTGCTGCCCACCCAGGGGGAGCGAGGTGAATGCTGCCTCCCAAGTCCCGCCCGTGAGTTCATGTGGCAGCCCTGCTCAGGAAGGCACGGGTCCCCCTGGCAGCAAGGGTCCTGAGGAGCATCCTCTGGGCAGAGGCTGCTCTGCTGTCTTCCTGCCTGTGCAGAGTCCTGGCCCTGATCCCCAAGGTGTTTGCATCCTGGCTACACACAGCCTTTCCCAAGTCTCTGTCCAAACCTGGTCTTTGGCCCATTGGGAGGGGAACAAAGTTGCCACCTCCTCTTTATACCCTCTCCCCCTCCAGGGAGGGGAATTTGGGTGGCAGGAGGCCCTTTTCTGCAGACTTGCTCATTCTGCCCCCGGGAAGCATCACTCCTGGAAGTCTGACCGCACCTACCCCTCCTGACTGGCTCTTCTCTCCCGTTGCTCTGCTGTCTGTGCTCCGGACCCATGGCTGCCCTGCTCTGGGCTGGAGGGTCTGCCTGTTTCCATCTGCAGCTCTGGGCTCCCCGGCTGGGTGGAGAGGGTTCGCCCCTGTGGCTGGCCATTGTGCTACCTTCCAGAGCAGGACAGCAGATCCCGGAATGCCGGGTCCTTTTCCTCCCTGAGCTCAGAAAACTGAGGAGTTCCGGGGTCTTTCTAAATCCATGGGCATGTGTCCTGAGCCACTTTCATGCAAGGAGCCAGTATGGCCATTTGTAAGTCCACATGGCCTGGCCACTCAGTGTCTGATGACAGACAAGTCAAGTTGGCCATCCGTCTGCCTTACTGCCTAAGGTTGGCTGGCTCCACCACCCGAAAGCAGTTGGTGAGTCCCGCCCCGTTCTACCGGTGCCGTCTATGTGTGGGGCCGTGTGCTGAGCACTGGGTTCTGCGTTCTGATCGCAAAGGGTTTTGCAGAGAGAGTCAGTGTTCAAGCGGCTGGCCTGCGCCTGTCTTATGACCCCTCCGTTTCCTGCAGCCTTCCTCCCCTTCACCGTCCTGCAGGGATTCGTCCCAGTGACATTTTCTTCCTGCTCCCCTTGTTAAACCTCTTCTTAAGGAAGGCTTGTGTTCATCAGCAGCATCTCAGTGTAAACCAATGCCTCCTTCCAAGGAAATGTTCATATTAAACTTTGTTCTGTATTAAATGAAGGAAGGTAAAGATCATTTCATAGAGGAGCTCGGGAGAGACATCAGGGGGTTTCTCCCGCTCCCCGCGGACGCATCTATTAATGAAATAGGATCCATGCAAAGCACCCAGCACACAGCAAGCTCTCTCTAGATGTCAGCCCCCTCCTTCCTGTCTCAGTTGATAAAACGACACTCGGGGCAGTAAGCTTCTAGTTGGTGAAGGGGGACAACTTAACCAAAGTCCCAGCTCTGGGACCTTGTCCATGTCACAGCCCACGGCTGTGTGGTGCTACAGCACGGGCCTTGCTTCTGCTAGGGACAGGCCAGCTCACCTTGTACTCCCTGGTCTGCAAGAAGTGATGCCGCCTGCAGCCACTCTCTGTGCTCGACAAAGCTCCTCCGTGTCCCTCTCTTCCCACCCCATCGAGAGCCTCTGGCATCTCATCTGGCCTTCAGAGTGCGGGGCGGGCAGCCGCCTGTTAGACCCCCCCCCCGGAGAACTGGCCTTACCCTCCTGAGCGGCGCTCAGGCTCAGGGTCAAGGCTGGGCACTGGTCCAGCTCTCAGCTCTGAGGGGATAAACTGGGGTGTTCCCCTGCTGCCCTCGTGGATCTGAAGATGATGTGGGGCCCAGCATTCAGGATCTGCAGGAAGAATGAGGGGGGAGGTACTGAGCTAGGCACAGACAGGAAAGGGGAGAACACCTCGACCAGAGCTGAAGAAGACACGGCAGGTGAGCAGAAGACTGGCCGGGAGGAGGCTGAGTGATCGCAGCCGCACCCTGAGGTGGGGGTTCAGCTCAGCGGAGACGGGCTCAGCGGGGGCTCAGGTGCTCTCCCCTCTGCTCAGAAGAACACATCTTCTCTGGGAGCTGCTTCTCTGTGCCTTCACTCCAGGGGCCAATGTCAAGCTCAAAAGCATGTCAGGCTATGACGCCAGGACCTCCTCAGCTCCGCCCAACAAATGCCCAAATACCCAAGTACCTACAGCAGAGGGAAGGGGCGGCCTGCTCACTGGCCCACCCTGCCCTGGACAGTGCAGCCCAGGACCCTTCCTTAGAAGCTGATCCTTTTCACCTTCCAAAGCACCGTCTCGGGTGTCGCTTCATCTGTGGGTCAGAACAAGCCTCTGTGTCAGGCAGGGATGTCATTCCAATTCTATGGATGGGGACCCTGAGGCCTGGGCATGGCTAAGTCCTGTATGCCAGAGGGTAACTGAACGGGGCCAGAACTCAGGTCTCCCTGGGTCCTCACCCTTCTCCCACATCGAATTGCGACCCCAATCCTAGCCTCCCTGGCTCTGTGGCCTCCTCGCTGACTGCAGGAGTGGAGGCACGGCAACGTGTGCGTGAGCGTGCGAGCATGTGTGCACGGGTGCGCATGAGGGAAGGGGAGGAGCGATGGAGGTTTCTGTGTTTTTCTCTCTTGAACACTGTAGGTGCCACTCCCGAGAGAGCCAGATAGCCATGGTGCGCCGGGAGGAGTTTTCTCAGGACGAGGCCTGTGCCGTGAAGACGAGCGAGGACCTGGAGTACTGCAGTGAGCCCAGCCTGGTCTCCACAGAGAAGTGAGCCCCGCTGCCCTCTGCCCCGGGCCAGCCTGCGCGTGTAGAAGGGTTTGGGAGAGGCAGGTCCTGGGTCCCTCTGGAAACGATCAGGGATGAGGAAGAGATCACATGTCGGAAGAGCAGCTGCAAAGCCCCTGACCACACATGCACACACAACCCCTGACCCACACATGCACACACAACCCCCTGACCCACACATGCACACACAGCCCCTGACCCACACATGCACACACAACCCCTGACCCACACATGCACACACAGCCCCCTGACCCACACATGCACACACAACCCCTGACCCACACATGCACACACAACCCCCTGACACATGCACACACAGCCCCTGACCCACACATGCACACACAACCCCTGACCCACACATGCACACACAACCCCCTGACCCACACATGCACACACAGCCCCTGACCCACACATGCACACACAACCCCCTGACCCACACATGCACACACAGCCCCTGACCCACACATGCACACACAGCCCCTGACCCACACATGCACACACAGCCCCCTGACCCACACATGCACACACAGCCCCTGACCCACACATGCACACACAGCCCCTGACCCACACATGCACACACAGCCCCTGACCCACACATGCACACACAGCCCCTGACCCACACATGCACACACAGCCCCCTGACCCACACATGCACACACAGCCCCTGACCCACACATGCACACACAGCCCCTGACCCACACATGCACACACAGCCCCCTGACCCACACATGCACACACAGCCCCTGACCCACACATGCACACACAGCCCCCTGACCCACACATGCACACACAGCCCCTGACCCACACATGCACACACAACCCCTGACCCACACATGCACACACAGCCCCCTGACCCACACATGCACACACAGCCCCTGACCCACACATGCACACACAGCCCCCTGACCCACACATGCACACACAGCCCCTGACCCACACATGCACACACAGCCCCCTGACCCACACATGCACACACAGCCCCTGACCCACACATGCACACACAACCCCTGACCCACACATGCACACACAACCCCCTGACCCACACATGCACACACAACCCCTGACCCACACATGCACACACAGCCCCCTCACCCACACATGCACACACAACCCCTGACACATGCACACACAGCCCCCTCACCCACACATGCACACACAACCCCCTGACCCACACATGCACACACAACCCCTGACCCACACATGCACTCACAACCCCCTGACCCACACATGCACACAGCGCCTGACCCACACATGCACACACAACCCCTGACACATGCACACACAGCCCCCTCACCCACACATGCACACACAGCCCCTGACCCACACATGCACACACAACCCCTGACCCACACAAGCTCACACAACCCCCTGACCTACACATGCACACACAGCCCCCTCACCCACACATGCACACACAACCCCTGACACATGCACACACAGCCCCCTCACCCACACATGCACACACAGCCCCTGACCCACACATGCACACACAACCCCTGACCCACACATGCACACACAGCCCCCTCACCCACACATGCACACACAGCCCCTCACCCACACATGCACACACAACCCCTCACCCACACATGCACACACAGCCCCTCACCCACACATGCACACACAGCCCCTCACCCACACATGCACTCACAATTCCCTGCTTAGCTGGGCCCTTCCTCATGATACAGTGCTTCCAGAAAAACTTCTAAACATGTTTCTGAAAGTGTGTGGAGTGCAACCAACCAGTAAATATATGTTATAGTGCTACTCGATTACACACATACATGTATTGACCTTTAAGCAAATGTTCCTGAAACTGCTTATAATAAAGCCACCCAGCAGAGGGCACTGTTGGCCACAGTGGCTGAGATTTCCCGCAGTGCTAGACTTCTTTTGTTGTTTGTTAATGCTCAGCCCAGGATATTTTTTCCATTGATTTTGCTTGCTTGTTTGTTTTGTTTGAATTGATCTTTATTATTGACAGTATTGCAGATGTCCCTCCTTCTCTTTCCCCCATCGACCCCTCCTCCCACTCCTGCCCCCCACCCCGCCTTCACCGCAGTGATAGAATTTTTAAGAGAAGGGTTCAGCTGCAGATCTAGACCCGTTAGAAGGTTATGACATTTACTTCGTTATGATCAGCACTTTTAAAAGAAAGTATAACACAGCTTAGCACTAAATAGCATAGACTAGGACAGAATAAGACGATACAAAATAACGTACCCAGTGTCAGAAGGGTAAGTGTCATTTTGTGAAACATTTGTTTAATTGCCAATGTATGTATGTGTGTAAAGAGTCCCTTAAAATGTATTTACAAGTGTGGCTGCATTCAAAAGGGTTAAGATGCACTGTTTTAGAAGCTCTCCCGAAAGCACTTCATAATAAGGAAGGGCCAGCCCATTTAGGCTTTCGATTCTTAGAGGATGCGAAGTAATACACAGTCACATAGCTTAGAAATCAGGAAAAGCAGGTGCTTCCATCCACTGTGGCTCTTTCTGCATGTTTGGTGCATCCAGGCACTCGGCTAGATTATGAATGATCTGGCCTCGGCACTCAGGGAGGTGTTGCAAACTAGTTAGGAAGCTAAGAGGATCTCAGAAGAGGAAAATAACATTGAGATTTTCTAACTAATTGCTCACAGAGTGAAAGGTACAACAATGAAGGGTTCAGGCATTCGGAGAAGGTCAAGGTCAAGGTGACCACAACAGGCGCCAGGCACAAGGTCAAACAGAAACTGGGTCTTCAAGCATGAGTGTGAGTTGGATAAGAAGAAAATATCACAGGGAGGGCTTGCCAAGCTGAAAATGAGAAGAACGGCTTAGAGATGTGGTTCTCAACCTTCCTAACTCCGCGACCCTTTAATACAGGTCCTCATGTTGTGGTGACCCCCAACCATAACATTATTTTCGTTGCTTCTTCATAACTGTAATTTGCTACAGTTATGAATCGCCATCGGAAATATGGCGTGCTGAGAAAGGGTCGTTTGACCCCCAAATGGGTCATGACCCACCGGTTGAGAACTGCTGGCTTAGAGGTTTTGATTCAAAGCCTCTCCTGACATCTGCAGATGCTGGAAGTCGGTGAGCCAGGAGCAGAAAGGCGGGATGGTCTCCACTCTTTAAGCTCTCGGAGTCACAGAGTCGGTGGCCTCATTTGTACAAGCCAGGGGTTAGAATGCAACCTTGGAGGGACCGCTGTGCCCACCAGGGGTAGTGAAATCAACTTGGTGGATTGCAACCGACATTGTTTCCTTTTAAAGAACTAGAAGGATTAAAGTAGAATAGAAACTAAGTACGAGACATGAAGTGAGGCTGGCTGGTGACGTTTGGTTCAGTCGGGTGTGTCTGTGCAAACAGGGCCTGTGTCCAGTGTGGTTCTCACTGTGAGTCCAGCCGAGGCTCCGAAGCCACTGACGATGCCCCAGCTCTGTTGTTCATGGGTGATCGTGCGGTTCAGCGACACAGCTGAGTGCTCTTGACGAGGAAGGGGGGCAGGCCAGGGAGAAATGGGGGGGTTGGGCTAAAGTTGGGACTGGCCATGGTAAATAGCATCAGCACATGGAAGAGAGGAGCCTGGGCCATTCCTGGAAAGAGCCCCATGTGCCTGGCATTTTCCCAGCTTCCTCACCTTCGCTGCCCCGTCACACACGGGCTCAGGGAAGACCGGCTGTGTGTGAGGAGCCGGAAGCATCTGTGAAGCCAGAGAGCAGGGTCCTGGCGTGGCGAGTCCCTGTTGCCCTTCCCCAAACCTTCACGAAAGAGCAAAGTGGGGGCTCTCTTCACCGAGGAAAAAAGCCAGCTGCCTTCTGGGACGGCAGCTGTCCCTGTGGGGTCCGCGTCTCAGCCTCCAGGAACAAGCCGAGTTCTCTGTTGCAGGCTGTCCTACCAGGATGATGAAAACCGACAACTGACACCCCCGGAGGAGGACAAGAGGGACAGCCGGCAGTCTCCGAAGAGGGGTTTCCTCCGCTCTGCCTCCCTCGGTAAGCCCTCACACCGTGCTCCCAGATGTGAGCCGACAGCAGGCCTCCCCAGGTGATTGGTCAGGCGCTCGGGGGTGACAGGGGCCTGGCTCAAACAACCCCCACACAGTGGGCTGGGCAGATTTCCAGAGCGACCAGGGGGAATTCCAGGGCAGGGATAGGGCTTGGACACAAGCTACGTGGTATGTGTCAGAGGAAGGTGGAGGGTAAAGAGGAGGTGTATCCGGGCCACCAACATGCCGGCTTCCCCTCCCTGGGTGCGAGTCGTCACAGGCCCCGGTCCTTTGCCTGTCCTGACCCCAATTCTTTGGCTGGCTCTGCAGGTCGAAGGGCCTCCTTCCACCTCGAATGTCTGAAGCGACCGAAGAATCAAGGGGGAGACATCTCTCAGAAGACAGTCCTGCCCTTGCATCTGGTTCATCATCAGGTAGCCACGCTTTGGACAGGCCACTGGCCACCACCCAGGAGGCTAGACAAAATCCCCAGACACCCGTCTCCCCTGTCCCAGACCGCTGCTGCACCCCCACCCCTGGCCCTAGCAGCCCCCAGGTGAGGGACCTTTTCTACACAGGCGAGATCCCTAAGGAAGTCTGTGGTTTCCCACGGTGGAGACCTAGGAAGTGCTGGTGACCAGGACCTCTCCATGGTCCCAGGATTCCCGAGTTTCTTCTTACAGCCACACAGACGTCCCGTCCTCAGACATTAGCTTATACCACAGGGCGCTCAGGCAGATCTGGTCCACCTAGAGCTGCAAGACACCTGGAAGTTGAGCTGCACACAAATCCATCCACTGAAATGTAGAAATGATCAAAGAATCTGCCAGCTACAGAGTCAGGAGTAGGGAGTGATATCCAAGGAAAACAGGTCCAGGGAGATTGGACAGCTGACATTGTCCTCTGAGCACGGGTGACTCCGCAATAGTGAAATCCAAGACATCAGCATCAAAACTGCTCTTACTGTCTCAGAACTAATGGAAACGTCAAAGAATTATCTAAGGCATTCTCTGACCTCCAGAAAAATTAAGCTCTAGAGTTTCTTGTACTTTTTTAAATTTTTAAATAATGGAGGATTCTTTTTTTAATATGTTTTTATTGATTTTTTTTAGAGAGAGAAGGGAGAGAGAGATAGAAACATCAATGGGAGCAAGAAACATCAATCAGCTGCCTCCTGCACGCCCCCTACTGGGGATCGAGCCTGCAACCCGGGCATGTGCCCTGACCGGGAAACCAACCAGGACCTCTCAGTCCACGGGACGACGCTCAGTCCACGGGACAGTGCTCAGTCCACTGAGCCACACCAGCTGGGCTCTTGTACTTTTTACCTTTTTAATTATACACTCCCTTACCATAGCTCTATTCTTTCAATTTTTTTATTCAAAGGCATTCAAGTGCCAATTAAAGTTTACAGCCAGTATAAGACAGCCTGTGTGATTTAGCTAAGATGATATAATTTCAGCTTAAAGAAATGTACTGTTTTGCTTAGCCTGTATGGCACTGCTGACATACATATGACCTCTAGGGACCCAGGGACCCCAGGCTGGGGACCATCAAGAGCAGTGGCCCAGGGAGGCTGGCAGGCTGGGGAGAACTGTGATATTTTTATGAATTTCTAGAAGTTGATTCACTTGTCTGTTTTCTCATCCTGGAAGGCATGAAACTCCTGTTCATTTTCATCCCCCTCCATGCCTTTCCCCTCCCCTCCCACCCACGCAGCGTGTGCCCTTCTTCCTGCCTCTGGGCCGGGCTTGCCCACCGCATGGCCTCGCCGTCCCGCGGACGCGTCCCACCACAGCAGGTTGTGGTGGCCGCTCGCATGGGGACCGCAGCCCGCCCGCAGGCCCCTCGAGCACAGTGGGGCAGAGGACACGGCCGTGTAAATACTGCAGTCACATGCAGCGTAGTCACATGCAGCGTGAGATGCGGGCAGTAGCTCAGACACAAGGCGAGCTGGAGTGTGGCAGGATTGTACGAATGGCCGATTCGCTGCAGAGGCTGAACCAGTCCGCACCGGCTCTGCCTGCTCTTGGGCTGCGCAGACTGCTTTTCCGCAGACCCTCCCTGGCTTGAACCTCCCATCAACCCCCGAGGCAGGGGGACGGGGCGCTGGGTCCTGGCTGTGCAGGCCACACGGGTGGGCACCGTCCTCTCCGGTCGGCTGACGAAAAGGCCAGGGAGAGAGTTGACAGCTGGCGGGGCAGGGCCAGGGCCGAGGAGCAGGTGACCTTGACTCTAGTCTGTCGCAGCTTTCGGATTTAGAGGAGACAGATCATCTCAGACTGAGGTCATCAGAAAATGCATTTTCGGATGGTTGAAACTCACACTGGGTCTCGGACGGGTGACAACGGTGGCAGTGTGTCGGGCAGGTGCCACCACCTGGAAACAGCCGCTGCTGGGAGGCCTGCCTCCTGGCCTGGCCGTCCCCAGTAACTCGCGCCCTTGTGTGTCTGCAGGCGTTGGCAGTGGCGGGCCTGAGCCCCCTCCTCCAGAGAAGCCATTCCCCCACCACGTTCCCCCGGCCGTGTGCCACCCCCCCGGCCACGCCCGGCGGCCGCGGCTGGACCCCGAAGCCCATCCCCACCCTGCGGCTGGAAGGCACCGAGTCCAGCGAGAAACTCAACAGCAGCTTCCCGTCCGTGCACTGCAGCTCCTGGTCGGGGGAGCCCACGCCCTGCGGTGGGGGCAGCAGCGCCCCCCGGCGGGCCCGGCCTGTGTCCCTCACCGTGCCCAGCCAGGCCGGGGCCTGGGGCCGGCATTTCCACGGCAGTGCCAGCAGTCTGGTGGAAGCGGTAAGTGACTCGGAGCTGCCAGCAGACAGGGGAAGGGAGGCCCCGAGGCAGCAAAGGCCCTTTGCACGGAGAATCAAGAAGGGAGAGCCTGGTTCTCTCCCAGGTGGACTGGAGGTCAAGTCTCGGGGCCACAAAGACCCTTGATGCCAGGGCCTGCAGCAGGGTGCACGGCACGCAGGGGATTCTGTCGGCTTCTGTGGGGCGGTTGGGGCGGGGCTGCTGCGGGGGAGAGAGACTGCGAGGCACATCCCAGCCGCAGGCCAGTGAGGCCCGCGTGTACGCCCCAGGCATGCTGTGACTGCTCCGGACCTGAGCCTGGCTGCCTGTGCACACGTAGGAAGTCGGTCTGGTTCCTGAGCCTGGTTCTCGTTAGAATAACCTGGGGAGCTTTGGAAACCTATGACCAATCAAATGGGTAGTTTTAAAAGCCCTGTGATGATTCCAACGCACAGCCAGAGTGGAGAAAATCTAGTCCAGAACAAGAGCACTCTCGGGTCCGCCAGGCTCTGCCCCGGTCGGAGCACCCATTGCAATCCTGGCTCCTTGACAGGTCGGAGCAGTCCCCAAGGGTGCCTCCAGCTCTGACGCCCTGTGCTTCCGGGGCCTTGGGCACCTGTTACTCAGGCCATGTCTCCACGGAGCACCTGCCACTTGCAGGTCTGCCCCAGGCGGGGACACGGCGAGGGGTAGTGTTTCTCTCTCTTGAGCTCACACCGGGGGGAGGAAAGACAGGTAATACATAAACATGTATGCAGTGTGTTAAGAAGGGCCGGCACGGTGGAGGAAAATTACGTGGGATAAAGAGTAAGCAGGGAAGCTGGACAAACAGAACTGAGAAAACCGTCCCAGGCTTCAGGGCACTGCTCCCCCCGCCCGCTGGCTCGCGGCTGATTTCCCGGAACAGCCACTAAAGCAGCCACCAGGGAGGAGAGCGGGGCTGTGGCTCTGCCCACTGGCCTTCCCAGCAGAAGCAGGAGCGAAGGGGGTGCCTGGGGCGTGTTTGCACACACCCTCCTCAGGGTCCTCACCGCCAGACAGGCAGCCAGGCTGGTGGGCAGTGGGCACAGGCAAAACAGCGCACCAGAGAACAGAGGTTTCTTGGTAAGAATACTAGAGGGTGCCAGAGAGGAGCAAAGACAGGGTGGACGTTCTGCTGTGAGAGACCACCGCTGAGGCTCCGCGGTGAGCCCGCTTGTCATGGATGTGGTAACGGTTTTCGAGGACCCCAGGCAAAAGGTCTCTCCTCCAGCCTACACATCCCGAATGTCGCTCCTTTCCCCTGAGCACCCCATGCCGCCCCCATGTGCACACACGCACGCATGCACACACTCCTGGAGCTCCCAGTCAGGAGTCCCGTGCTCTGGCCCTAAAGAGAAGAGGCGAGCCCCGGAATAATGTTCCTCTTTGGTTTTTCCCCATGGCCCTCCCCCTTCAGGTCTTGATTTCGGAAGGACTGGGGCAGTTTGCCCAAGATCCCAAGTTTATCGAGGTCACAACCCAGGAGCTGGCTGACGCCTGCGACATGACCATAGAGGAGATGGAGAACGCTGCTGACAACATCCTCAGTGGGGGCACCCAGCAGAGCCCCAACGGCACCCTCCTACCTTTTGTGAACTGCAGGGACCGGGGGCAGGACAGAGCGGGGGGCAACGAGGGCGGGCCCTGTGGGCCCAGCCAGGAGTGCCGGCGGAGCCAGGAGGAGCTGCAGGACAGCCGGGCCTGCGTCAGCAGCCTGTAGGAGCTGGGCTGGGAGATGCTGGGCTTTTTATTTGTTTCAATGTTCCTAAAGGGTTCGTTTCAGAAGTGCCTCACTGTTCTCGTGACCTGGAGTTAACGGAACAGCGTCTTCATTCATTTCGTTGGGACAAGACACAGAGTTGGGTGGTATCGAGAGTCAGCTTTTCGGGGGGAAGAAGAGCAGCAACCCCAGTTTGTGTCCAAGGAGGCAGTGTGGTGAGGAGGAGGAGGCAGAAGTGTCCGGGAGGGAGAAGGCCACCCGCCCTCCCGAGGGATTCCAAGCCCCGTGCCAGGAGCCAGCCTTCGCCTTGGGCACAAAAGAGACCCTCAGCTTCCTGTGGTAGCCCTCACCGAAAGGACCTTTGTCAAACGGGTGTCTTTCAACTTTGCTTGTACAAAATCATTTTGCACATATTGTGTACGAGCTCACTGTCCCCATAGAGCCAGGGCCCTGTGGATTTGCAGAAGGAGGCAGGCGTGACTCGACCCAGCCCCACCCCACCCCAGAGGGAAGAAGAACCTGCGGGAGGCGGCAGGAGCTAGGAGCCAGAGGGAGGCAGTGCCATGCGGCAGCTGCCCAGCCCCACCCCGCTGCCTGGATCACCTTCCTGCACAGGCCACCGCAGGCCACCACGCTCCAGCCCGGCGGCGGCCAGCGTGCTGGGAGGGGAGCGGCGCTGCTCCCCAGGAAGAGGCGGCCCCTCCGGACAAGGCGAGCTGGTGCCGATCTGCTGAGCGCTCCTTTGTTCTGTGGTTTGACATTTCTCCTGACAGCATGTTGCAGTTTTCATTTTTTTGTTTTTGTTTGGGGTTTTTTTTTTTCTTCTTCATTTTATTTTCCCAGGAGGAGGGAGGAAGAAGAGTGTTTACGAAGCTCTGTAGCCACCCACCTTACCATTTTCACTCTTGCAGATGTCAATCAGGTTAGGTTTGATCATGCTATTTAAACGGGTGTGGTTTCCTTTTCCTGCGGGGGGCTCCCTGGAGGAGAGTTTTACCAGACACTGTGTATGCCCAATCATTTGTTACGGTTTCCGTAGGTAGTAAACATGTTTTTGGTTTGGTTTTATAATTTAAAGGTAATCAGCAATGCACTTGATAGGGTCTTGCACAGATGGGTGACTGAGTTGTGTTCTTTCGAATGCTGGGTGCCGTGGTGGGTGCCAGCAGAAAGGAAGCGTGTACGAGTCTCTGTGCGTGTGTACTTGTGCAGCGGGTCGTCTGTGTGCGTGTGTCTGGCGTGTGTGCGTGCACCCGCGCAGTGCCCCGTGCACCCCGTGAGTGTGCGGCTCCCCGAGTCTGGGTGAAGTGGGGAGATCTGAATCCAGGGCCATCTGAGAGCAAAAACAAATCACTGTCTCTGCTTCTGAAACGGGAATCAGTAACTCTTTGCATTTTCTGTCCCACAAGATATGCAAAAACAATGCAATAATATTCATTTTAAAAATACAATTGTGAGTCTTGTTGGCATTAAAACTGTATTTTAAAAAAAACACAGAAGTTTAAGGGAAAAACTCGAGAAGGCGTTTTGCTTCGATATATTCCGTGTAATGTTTAATTGCATTGATAATGTTTCTGTTGAAGAAACCGTTATACTTGAATTCAGGTCAGTTTCAGTATTTTACAAATATTTTTTTAAAATTGAATTGCAATTGTGCCAAGCGAATATAATGAATTGACTTAAGTTTGTTTTTGAATTCACCTCTTGTATATTTTGCTGCATGTAAGTAAATCATTTTGTATTTGGAGTGTGACAAGCTTTACCTTTGAACTCTTAAGTGCTTTTCTCTATGTGGTTGGGGGAAGGGGAACATCCTCTTTTTTTTTTTTAATTTGTACAATGAGCAAGGGTATCACCAGTGTAAATCATTATTCTGCTATCCACCAACAGGTTTGGACGTTACTGTTTTGCATATCTTGTGTTTGCTTCCGTTTCCCTCGATGTTTCCAAAACGGTAGGATAGGCCTGTTTATACTACATCTCATATGCGAGACCAGGACATATCTCCTTCCAACCCTCACTCTATCTCCTCTGCACCAGCTCTCCGATTGGGTGTTTCTCCAGGAACAGCCCCTCGCTGGGAGGGCTGGAGGCATTGGCCAGCCCCTCTCCTCACTGGGCGAGCCACAGCGACCCCCCAGGGAGAGGGGAGGTGGCTGGCTGTTCTCTTCACTCCCACCGCACACGTTTTGCTCAGTGGGTTTGCAGGAAAGTGCGCACTGACCAAGAGAATGAAATTAGAGTCAGGGGAGGGGAAGGGTATCCTGGCTCTGGCCACTGCTCCACCCAAACTCAGACAGCAAAGTCAACCAGGTGAAACCTGTGTCCAGCCCAAGTCAACTCTGTGTTGCTCCATCTCGTCTTCGCTCCGGGGCAGCATTCCCTCCAGACCTCTGTGGTGTGTCTGGCAGCCGTGGGGGGGGGGACCAGGCAGGAGAGGCAGCATCAGCAGTTCACAGGGATGTTGGGATCAGACTTTGTGGGAGCCTCTCTTATGCCAGTTCGCCTCTACCTAGGACACACCCCACTGATGCTGTTCTTTGAATAGATTTCATCAACGATGGTGAACAGGCGACTGGTTTGGGGAAAACGGGACCCAACCATTCATCCAGAATGTACCCACTGAATCTCTTCCAGTCCAGCATACTCTCCGCCCTTCTTGGCACTTAGATAAGCAAACTAGAAATTTACGTTGAGAAACGCAATGAAGATGAGTTTTGTTTTTATAGGCTGATTCATGGACGTGTGGAGAAATGTGCAGAAACTCCCGGGTTAACGACAGTCCAGAAACAGAAGAATCTCTTCCTGTCTCTCCGGGCCCAACCCATCCAAACGTTCGTGGCCCTTCTCAGGTCTTCTCGAAATTAAGTGTAGGTGTTACCTTGTGTCTAGTTTCCCAATGTGTCTGCCACTGTGCTGCTAAGAGTTTAGTGACGATGGAGAGGAGAGCCCTTGGGATCGCTGTCTGCTTCTTGCTGCACATTTGGTCCCTCGACAAAATTTGGAGTCTTCACTGACCAAACACACACAGAGAGTCAACCTTTTCATCTTGCATTCTATGTTCCTTTGGGACGTTTCATCGGCGTCACCAAATCTCACAGGCCAGCAGCGTGGGCGGCAGGCTGGACTCAGTCCAGCTTCGCCCAGGGTCCTGCCCTCTGGCTCGTCACCACTCACACCCAAAGGCTCCCTTCTGCTGTGCAGCCAACTCGTGGAGAAGACCAGCTAGTTTCTCTCCCGTGAGGACAGTCTCTCGTGACAAGGGCGCCCTGCCCTGTGTGCTGTGAAGGAGAGGAGTTTGCAGATGGAGCGCCCCGTCCAGGGTCTGCCGGAGCCTGACGCATGCTGGACTCCTGTAGGACTGACACCTGGTGCTGTCATCGCCACCGACCAGGAAGCCGGCCGTGAAGCCGATGGGCCTCATCCACGGTGTACGAGGCGATGCTTACTCTCCACCTGCAGTGAAACTGTCCCCGGGACCTTGCAAAGCAGAAGGATCACATCTTCTGAGAGCCTGTGGCTGGCAGGAGAAAAGCAGCCAGAGCCGAGGACCAGGGGACTCAGCGAAGTGCAGCCTAAGTTCTGGGTTTTGGTAACTTCATTTTTATTTCCTTCTGACTAGCCCAGCCTCTTTTATAGCCAACGGGGTCTTCATAACGACTCACGAGGATGGCTCCGTTAAGCAGAGGGCTTTCCGGCCGTCTCCTTTCTGCCTGTTCCCAGAAGGTTCTTTTTAGTCTTGAGTTAAAAAGAGGAGACTTATCCGCTAGATTCTGGCCTCATTTATAAATTTTTCTCCGCTTTGCTTCAGAAGACGTTAGTTATAGCCCCTTCTCCAGCTTTGAAGTCCCATAGACGTCCCTCTGACTGGGAAATCCAAGGGCAGTGGAACAAGACTTCCTTGCTCCATCTCCTCCGCCTCCGGGACCCTGCTTTCAAATTCCAGGGCTTGTTTGGAGCTAAGCCTGTCACGCCCTCGTAGCTGTCTGCTTCCAGAACATCGTGAGCCTGCGGCTGGGACAGGCAGCCCAGGAGCGGTGCGCCTCCCGCTCAGCGGTGCCCCTGCGGAGACATGAGCGCCTGAGCAGGAGGCGTCTGGAAGTCATCAAAAGGGTGGCGGTTGATGGACGGAGGCCCATCGCTCCGCAAGGCTGAGAAATGTAACAGGAGCTCGGATTAGGCATCAAGAAGAACCCCGGCGGTCAGTGCTTTTGCACATCAAACCAGAACCACGCCCGTCGCTGAGGAAGATGATGAGCCTCCGGCCCTAGAGAGCCAGAGGAACTGAAATATCACCTAAGAGTGAGGGGCAGTTTGACGAGGAGGCCGAGAGGGGCGGTCTGGCTTCAGGAGGTCGTGCATTAGCTCCCGGGGGAGTCAGAACCTGCTGACCGCGTCCAGCCCAGTTCTGGGTTTGAGGATACAGGCCTGGTGTGGGAATGTCAGCACAGGGCAACCTGGAGGAGAAATGGGGGCTAATAGAGCACGTTTTGATTTGCTGCGTGTCTGTCCATTTTCTGGAAAGAAATGTCCAGTTCAACCATCCCAGTGGCCAGTGCACTGGAGAGACTCGTGTCTGGAGGATCTACTTTGGAAGAAGGGAAAAGTAACATTTTGACTGACTTGTTTCCCAACCAAGTCAAGGTCCCTGGCTGGCTGTGGGGTGTCTGCCACCCTGTCCTCCCTCTCTGCTGACGTCTGCCCGTGCATTAGCCACCTGCTGCTGCGACCAGCCAGTCCGAGGCGGGCAGTGGGGCGCTGCTCTCCCCAAGGCGAAGGGTGCTCCGTGGGGCAGCGCGTGGAGGGGACCCGGGAAGGACAGGAGGGAAAGAGGGTTCTACAGCTGCCGGGGGGGCCTTTGTCCCCTTCCCTGAGCAGCTCTCTCCATGTCAGCCTCCTCCCCTCCCCACCAGGCTAGTGAGGACAGAATGGAAAGGATCCTGTGTGCAATTCTTACTCAGTTTTTTTGTGAAGCCATTTCTGGTTTTTACTTTATTTATGTATTTATTTATTTATTTTTCAAAACAATGAAGCATTGCCTTGTGGAGCCAGATACCAGTCAGTGTAA